TATGGAAAAAAAAAAACATTTTTGATAAGGACAAAAATTAAATGATAATTTCCCATTATGCTATTTTTATTTATAAAAATTTTTGCTGTAAAATTGTGTATTTTTTAAAATACTTATTATTATTATTATTGTTGTTATCATTATTATTATTATTGTTAATTATTATTGTTATTATTATTATTATTATTATTATTGCATGAAAATAATGAGAACTGTAATATATTAAAGTACTTATTTTTTCCAGGAAATTGGTGAAAATGATAATTCAGTGTAATTTTTAGAAATAAAAATTGACAAACTTTTTTGTAAAGTAATACGAAAAAAAATTAAATTATATTATATAAAATATATTAAAAACGAATTATTGTGAAATTAATGTTTTGATATATGATAAGGAAAAAATAGTGGATTCATTATAATAAGTTGTGTTTAACTTTATCACTACAACATTCAATTGGGATAATATACTCTCATCATTCTCTCATTAAAAAAAAAGATTTGTTTATAAACAAAAGTTAAACAATAATTGACACATTATGCTACTTTTATTATAAAATTTTTAGTTGTATAATTCTGTATTTATTATAAAAATTAAGCGTTGTCACTTTTCACCAACTTTTATATAACCTCAAATTTATGACAAATGAAATAAATAAAACAAATGGTTATCAGATATATTCAATCAATATGACCATACCTACTTTTATATAACCTCAAATTTAAGATCAAATGAAATAAATAAAATAAATGGTTATCAGATATATTCAATCAATATGATCATTTTGTCTTGTGAGTCAAAACTATATAAATACTTATTTTAACTCTCTTATTGTTGTTGAGACCCATCACTCTTTATGTTACCATTTTTTATTTTTATTTTTTACTCAAGTAAAGGTTATTCAACATTTTTTAGATCTATTTCATATGGATATGATATTTTTTCTTGAAAAATACATTTCTTTTAGTTGGAGAAATTATGTTATATATGATAAATATAACATCATTATTTTTTATTTCACTCTATTTGTATTTTATTTATTATTTAAGAAATTATATTATAAAATAAAATAAACAAAGCATGAAATTTGGAGGTCTAAATTACATTTTTGTTAAAAAAGAATGACACGTTGACTTGACTAACTCTTACTTCAACTCACATCAAAGTTTGTGAATTATGAGATATTTTACAATTTAAATTAAAAGATCTTGTTTTGGAATGAGGTAGTCAATACAAATAAATTAATGATCACTTGTAATTTTTAGAATTATATAAAGATATAAAATAATACAATATTAAATTAATAAGAGATGGTTACAAATTTTCTTAATGTATATGTAAATTTCATCAATATAGAGTATATGTTTCAAATGTACTATTACATATTTTTATGAAAATATATGAACATGTATATGTTAAAATAAACAATGACGAATTTAAATTGACATATCAAATCTAAAAATTTATCTATATATATTCATATAGATGTCAAATTAAAAGCTATAAAAATATTTGTTTCTTATGTTACATATATATATCATATTAGTTATGTTTTTTTCTATTTTACCTTGAAATATACCCAATATAACCGAAAACATAATATTGTGTTTGATGTTTCAATAAAAATAATAATTAAATAAATTTTTTGACTTGAAATTTTATTTTAGTGATTAATTAAATAAGATTGAATATTTATTATAAAATATATTATAAAAGGAAAGAAACTCATACTCACAAACGGGAAGAGAGACAAATTATAAGTAAGATATCGGGATGAGAATTCATAATATAATTATGTATAATATTAAACATTATTTGTAACAAATAATTGATTACGAAAAAAGTATATAATAAGGATTTGTAGAATAATTAATTATGACTAAAATAAGTATTTATTTGTAACACATATTTATGATATTGTTTGAATGGTAAATAATACATAAAAATTAACAAAATTTATTTCATGGTAATAGATATAGTTAAAGCATTTTGTTTAGTTAAGAAAAATTGGAGTGCAAATTCCAATACAATTATGATAGTATAAATTAATTGTTTAAATGACATAAATATTTTTTGTTGATAAATCATGCACAAAAATTGATAAAATTTATTACAATATATTAAATGTAGTTTTGGAGGGAAATTTTGAGTTTCTTTGCTTTAATATATATATAGATTGGAAATCTTAATTAACTGAAGATTTCACAATTGAAATTGGTGAAAATTATGCACTTTTAACAAATAATAAAATAAAATAACGAATTTTTACTGAGATTACTTATATATAAAAAGTCATAAATCAGTTTTTATTAACATTATATTTTTTCTGCCAAACACCAAATTATCCTGTCCCTATCCAATCCTAAATTTATTGGTCAACATCATCAATTATTAATATATTATATATATATACACATTTCATCCATTTTTTTGAGTTGGGTATTCACGCCGAAGAAAAAAATTA